CCGAGCCAGGGGCAGCAGATGACACTCAGCTGGGCTCAGCTGGGCTGCGAGAGGATGACATCCTCTGATGTCATCAAGCCCAATTGTTTATCACAATAAAAATCCTTACCATGGAAGACAGAAGCAAACATTGACACGTACCAGGGGTTCTCCCTCTTTAATATTTCTCCTATCTTTTCAAACTTTATCCAAGTCTTGGATAAAGTAGGTCCATTAAATCAAACTACTCCCCCATTCTATCTCTTTCCCAAAACCATTTTGAACCATATCAAAGCTTTTAAAGGACTAAAACAAATACAATGATCTAGCTCTATTGTGAAGAGTCTGCCGAGCTCAAATGGGGGGACTTCAGATTGGTCTGTGGCCATGCTACCTCACGTGGTGAGTTATACCACTGTATATTAGTAGTTTTGCTTAGGAATCTAAGGCCCAACCCAGCCAAGTCTGTCACCTGGACATGGAGGACTATAAGAGGGCTTCATGTTCCAGTTATGTTTAATAGCTCTATCATGTTCACAAATCATTTGATTGCCTTTCTATACTTACATCTGGTTGCTTCACTTTTATTCTTAGTTCAGTTTCATTTTTAATTTTATTTATTATTCAAAGTATTTACCTATTACTACTCAGCCCACCAGGACCCTTAAGCTGATGCACAACAGATAAAAATGTTTAAAACAATGAAGCAATAAAAATTATAAAAACTAATTAAAATACTAAGAACTTTAAAAACATTTTGGTTGTTTTTCCTTTCATTTATCTTTTTTTAATCCCTCCCGCCAAAAAAACTCCTCACCCTTGGTTCTATATTCAATTATACTTCCATCTCAGAAAGTACATGTTTTTGTTATCAAAGCAGAGAGCAAAACCAAAGTAGAGAGCAAAACCAAAACCAAAATTATCTTTATCAATGTTTATACAAATCTGTTTTTTGATCTCCTGGGCTCTGACTCACTATATGTCTGGCTTCAACATTTTCCACTTTGGTCCCTGGAGTGCAAAAAGTTCTATAAAAAAACTCATAATGGAAAAACATCACGCAACAATATGATCTGTTAAACAGATGGCTTAATGTAAGGATATTTGCACAGCAACAAGAAAGAGAATAAAAAAGAAAAAGAATATAAAACTATTTATCTTATTTAGAAATACAGATCACCTAAACAGTTAAATTTTTTAATTGTTAATTAGTGAGTGTCACTGATTTCACAACACATATAGCATTTTCCTAAGCCATACTTCCAGTCCCAACTCCCAGTCCCTGATGTAGAGTACATAGATTATTAACAGATAACAAATGCTGCTAGATGCAGAAAATGACAACACTGGTGGCATTAAAGAACTTGATTAACTATGAAGGCACTTCCACCAGATTCCAGTTTGGTCTATAAATGCACAAAGACAAAAAGCTGACACACAAAGGTAACCTCAGACTGACAAGATGAACCCAATTCACATAGAATGCATACTTTGAACTTATAATGCTTAGAAGTGCTATAAGAATACATTTCATAAATATAGGTTGTAAATTGACAATAACAGGCAATATGAAGTGCCCCCTATTTAGAAAAGCTTAAAGGTAGAATTTTGCATTTGTCTCTACTGAATTTCATTAGTTTTGCCAATTTTTCTACTTTTAAATTCTGTTCTTATATTCCAATGTGTCAGCTACCCCTCCCAATTTTCTATCACCTGTAAACTTGGTAAGGATTCCCTCCACCACATCATCTAACTCATTGATAAAAATGTTGAAGAATAACGGCCCTAAGACAGAACTCTGACACACTCCACTCAGGAATTCCTTCCAGTCTGATGTGCAACCATTGATGATGACTTTTTGAGCACACCTTTCCAATCAATTTTAGATCCTTGTGACACTAACTGCATCTTTTCCATATTTAAATTTAATCAAAATATTATGGGGGTCCTTACCATATGCTTTGGTGAAATCCAGGTAAATGCCATCTACAAAATTCCCAATGTATACTAAACTGGTGACCTGATCAAAAATATATAATTTTGGTTCGACAGGATTTGGTCTTGAAAAACCCATGCTGGCTCCTACTGATCACTGCACTGTCATCAAGATACTTGCAGATATACTCTTTTATAATCAATCCATTCTAATATTTTTCTTTGTATTGAGTCAAGCTGACTGGTCTGTAGTTTTCAGAATCTTCTTTTTTGCTTTTTTTTTCTGAAGAGAGGGATAACATTTCCTCATCTCTAGTCCTTTAGTAGTTCACCCATTCTCCAAGATTTCTAAAAAATGTTGGCAAGAGGTCCTACGAGTATTTGTCAGCAGGTTTCTTCAATATTCTGGGATGAAGTTCATCTGGCCCTGAATTTGAACTCATTTAAGTCAACTAGGTGTGTGTGTGCACGCGTGCGCCTTCAAGTCATTTGTTGACTTATGGTAACCCCATTAATTTCATAGGGTTTTCTAAGGCAATGAATATTCAAGAGGTAGTTTTGCCAGTTCCTTTCTCTGAAATATAGCTTACCACACTTGGTATCCACTGGCAGTCTACCATCTAAGTACTAACCAGAGCTGACCCTGCTTAGCTTCCAAGATGAGACAGGATTCTGGTGTCATTAGGAGTTTCCTGACTAACTCCTTATTAATCTTGATTTTCAATTTGGATTCCTTGTCAAGCTTCTGTGGA